GAGGTTGTAATTCCTATTTTTCTCATAGTGAAATTCTTCTACCGTTGCCCGTGGTTTTTACCCTATATTATTTAGGGGGTTTCCACGTAAATTTTGTGTCTCTTTTATCTTCATTTTTATTTTCTCAAATTATCAGTTGCGATTTTGCTCTATCCGATAGCCGTCTTCCGCAACAATTGATATCCGAGCCAGATTTGAGTGTGTAATATCTGCTTATTGTCTTTTTGGTTGCCACCAAAAGGTGGATCCTCCAACATAAGAAAATAAGAAAGTATTACCCCTTCTTTGAGGTTCTAGAGAACTATTCACGATAGTGAAATAGTGGGAGCTATCAATAATAGAAGCTATGGCAACAAAATTTGACATTGAAAAGTTCAATGGGAAAAATTTCTCATTGTGGAAATTGAATATGAAGGCCATCCTCAGGAAAGACGGGTGTCTAGCGGCTATCAATGAAAGGCCGGTCGATTTCACAGATGACATCAAATAGAACGAGATGGACGGGAATGCTATGGAAAACTTTCATCTAGCATTAGCAGATGAAGTATTGTCAAGCATCGAGGAGAAGAATACAGCTAAGGAGATATGTGATCATCTCACCAAATTGTATGAGGCCACATCGTTGCACAATAAAATTTTCCTTAAGAGGAAATTGTACACTCTCCGTATGCCAGAATCTACTTCAGTGATGGAGCACTTAAATACACTGAACACCTTATTTTCTCAGCTTACATCCTTAAGCTGTAAAATAGGAGAACAAGAACGTGTTGAACTTCTACTTCAAAGTCTACCGGATTCGTACGATCAACTCATCATCAACTTGACAAATAATAATGTCACCAATCTAGTCTTCGATGATGTTGCAGCTGCTGTTCTACAAGAAGAAAATCGGCGCAAGAACAAGGAAGACATACAAGTAAAGCTGCAATAAGCAGAAGCGTTGACAACGATGAGAGGGAGATCAACGGAACGTGGCCAAAGCAACAGTCACAAACATGGTAGATCGAAGTCAATGAGCAAGAAGAATTTAAAGTGTTACAACTGTAGAAAGAAGGGTCACTTGAAGAAGGATTGTTGGAGTCTAAATAAAAACTCCAATCCACAAGGCAATACTACAAACACTTCAGATGATGAAAATGCTCTATGCTGTGAAGCGTCAACCACCGTGGAAGGTAGAAAGAGATATGCAAACATATGGCTCATTGATTCGGGAGCAACATATCACATGACCTCAAGAAGAGAATGATTCCATCAGTATGAACATGTCTCAGGAGGATCTGTGTATAATTGCAATGATCATGCCTTAGAGATCATTGGCGTGAGAACCATCAAATTGAAGATGTACGATGGAACAATCAAAATTGTTCGAGATGTGCGGCACGTGAAAGGCCTGAAGAAAAATTTATTATCCTACGGATTGTTGGATAATAATGCAAGCAAGATTGAAACACAGAAAGAAATCATGAAGGTGTTTCGTGGAACTCTTGTGGTGCTGAAAGGAGAAAATATAGCTGCAAACTTGTACATGCTGAAGTGAGAGACTTTGCTAAAAGCAGAAGCCTCTGTTACCTCATGTAGTTCAGATTCTTCAATGCTATGACATCAGAAACTTGGACTCATGTCAGAACAAGGAATGAAAGTTCTTGTGGAGGAAAAGCTACTTTCAGGCTTAACAAAGGTATCACTTACTTTGTGTGAGCATTGCATAACAAGTAAGCAGCACCGGTTAAAATTCAACACGTTAAATTCTAGAGGCAAAAATGTTCTAGAATTTTTTGCCTCTAGAATTGGTTCATTCTGACGTATGGCAAGCACCAGTTACATCCCTAGGTAGAGCAAAATACTTTGTCTCATTTATTGATGACTACTCCAGGAGATGTTGGGTGTACCCTATTAAGAAGAAGTCAGATGTGTTTTTAACTTTCAAAAACTTCAAAGCGCGGGTGGAACTTGATTCTGGAAATAAGATCAAGTGTTTCAGAACAGATAATGGAGGAGAATACACAAGCAAAGAATTTGATGACTTTTGCAAGAAAGAAGGCATCAAAAGACAGTTCACAGTGGCGAACACTCCTCAACAAAATGGAGTGGCAAAGCGGATGACAGAACCTTGTTAGAAAGAACAAGAGCAATGTTGAGGGATGCAAGCCTAGAAAAATCATTATGGGCAGAAGCAGTCAATACCGCCTGTTATTTGGTGAATCGAGCTCCATCAACTGCAATAGAGCTGAAGACACCAATAGAGATGTGGACTGGTAAACCAGCTGATTATTCAAACCTCTATGTATTTGGAAGTATAGTGTACGTGATGTACAACTCCTAAGAAATTTCAAAGTTGGATCCAAAATCCAGGAAATGCAAATTATTGGGGTATGCTGATGGAGTAAAGGGGTATCGCTTGTGGGATCCCACTACCCGCAAAGTGATCATTAGTAGAGATGTTATCTTTGTAGAAGACAAGCTACAAAGAAAAGAAGACGATGATAGCGCTGAAAAGTCAGAGACTACACAGATACATGTGGAAAAGGAGTTTGAATAAGGAGATTCTTCTGAAGCAGAACCAGCACATGATGAACAAGAACCAGCGAGTTCTGAAGCTCCAACAACTCGTCAATCAGATTGTGTGAGAAGACGTCCCAATTGGCACTCAGATTATAATATAGAAGGAAATATTGCATACTGCCTTTTAACAGAGGATGGTGAGCCATCAACATACCAGGAGGCAATAAACAACTCAGATGCTTCAATGTGGATGATGGCGATGCAAGAAGAAATCGAAGCCCTTCATAAAAATAATACACGGGATCTTGTGTGACTACCACAAGGAAGGAAACCAATTGGTAACAAATGTGTTTTCAAAATCAAGCGAAATGGTGACGATCAAGTGGAGAGGTATCGTGCAAGAATGGTGGTCAAAGGATATGCTCAGAAAGAAGGTATTGATTTCAATGAAATTTTTTCTCCTGTGGTTCGACTAACAATAGTTCGAGTAGTCTTGGAAATGTGTACTACATTGAATTTACATCTGGAACAGCTAGATGTTAAAACAGCTTTTCTTCATGGAAATTTTGAAGAAGAAATTTATATGCTCCAGCCTGAAGGTTTTGAAGAAGACGAAAAGAATAACTTGGTTTGCAGGTTGAACAAATCTCTGTACGGTCTAAAGCAGACACCGAGGTGTTGGTATAAGAGATTTGATTCCTTCATTATGTGCCTTGGATACAACAGACTTAATGCAGACCCTTGTGCTTATTTCAAGAGGTCTGGTGATAACGATTTTGTTATATTGCTGTTGTATGTGGATGACATGTTGGTTGCAGGACCCAACAAAGATCATATTGAAAAATTGAAGGCACAACTGGCTAGGGAATTTGAAATGAAGGACTTGGGATCAGCAAACAAGATTCTAGGGATGCAAATTCATCGAGACAGAAGTAATAGGAAGATTTGACTTTCACAAAAGAATTACTTGAAGAAAATCTTGTCACGATTTAGCATGCAAAATTGTAAGCCAATTTCTACCCCTCTTCCTATTAACTTCAAATTATCCTCCAGTATGAGTCCTAGCAGTGAAGAAGAGAGGATGAAGATGTCTCGAGTACCGTATGCATCAGCAGTGGGAAGCTTAATGTTCGCTATGATATGCACAAGACCAGACATTGCACAAGCAGTGGGAGTAGTTAGTCGGTACATGACGAATCCAGGCAAAGAGCATTGAAATACAGTAAAGAGGATCCTGAGATACATCAAAGGGACCTCAAATGTTGCATTATGTTACGGAGGATCAAACTTACTAATCAATGGGTATGTAGATTCTGACTATGCGGGGGATTTAAATAAAAGCAAATCTACGACAGGATATGTGTTCAAAATTGCTGATGGAGCTGTAAGCTGGGTTTCAAAATTGTAATCAGTTGTGGCTACATCCACAACAGAAACATAATATGTAGCAGCTACACAAGCAGTAAAGAAGCAATTTGGTTGAAGATGTTATTGGAGGAGCTTGGGCACAATCAAGAGTATGTCTCTCTGTTTTGTGACAGTCAAAGCGCCTTGCATCTAGCAAGGAATCCAGCATTTTCATTCAAGGACAAAGAACATACTAGTTCAGTACCACTTCATTCGTGAAAAGGTGGAAGAATGGACGATAGATATGCAGAAGATCCATACTAAAGATAACATAGCAGATTTCATGACGAAGGCAATCAATGCTGATAAATTTACCTGGTGTCGATCCTCCTGTGGCCTGTCAGAGACGTAAGCAACATGAAGGTACAAGGTAGAAAGAATGGTGTGAAGATATGATTGTTCCAATCAAATCTTCAAGTGGGAGATTGTTGAAAAGTCAAGGAAAACGATGCATTAATGCACCGAATTCATTCAATGCAAATTGTCAAAAGTTTCAACTAATTTGTTGAAAAAATGGTAAAAGCTTAAATTAGTCATTGTACTTTAGGGTATTTACAAATTAGTCCTTAAGACTTCGACTATAAATACCCTAGCTCATTTAGCTTTAAAATCATCCCAAAGCATTCTAGCTTTCTTCTAATACTAGAGAGAATTTAGAGAGTTTCTTGAGAGTTGTTTTCTTCTTTTTATCAAGAGAGAATTATCATTGTATTCTCCTTGGTAGATCGAGAGAGGTTGTAATTCCTATTTTTCTCATAGTGAAATTCTTCTACCGTTGCCCGTGGTTTTTTACCCTATATTATTTAGGGGTTTTCCACGTAAATTTTGTGTCTCTTTTATCTTCATTTTTATTTTCTCAAATTATCAGTTGCGATTTTGCTCTATCCGATAGTCGTCTTCCGCAACATAAGAAACGTGTACAATCATTCCGATCAATTAGAGAAGAGGAGGTTTCATGTTTGGTTATATCCATATTTTCTAGTACATGATTGGAAAACCTCGGAGAACTGTTAAAAAACTTATCATATAACATCACTTTAAGGACTGTTGTTGGCGGAAGATGCAAGCAACATGAAACATTCCTTTCAATTATGAGGAAAAGTGTCGAACTAGCAACTGGTTTTAGTATTACCGATATGTTTCCTTCCTTCAAATTGCTTCCTATGATCGGTGGGATGAGAGCCAAACTTGAGAGCATGCACCATGACTTTGATGTGATGCTTGAAAGCATTATTGAAGAACATAAAGCTAGCAATGCAAATCCGAAGAACAGTGATGATGTAACAGATGATCTAGTTGATGTTCTTTTGCATCTTCAGGATCATGGATACCTTGAATTTCCCTTAACAACTGACCACATCAAAGCTGTTATCCTGGTGAGTACTTAGTAGTATCTTGTGTGTTTAACAGTCCTAAAAATTTAAAATGCTCAAATATCAAAGAACTTGAAGCTTGAGATCATTGGGAAGTTCCTTTATTCAGTGTTCAAATATAAGACCTTGTTTTCTTCAGTTGCTTGAATGTTTTACACAGATGTTTTGTAATTTAACCAAGTAGAACTGCTTATCAGGGCATGATTGCAGATGGAACCGAGATATCTTCAACTACAGCAGAATGGGCAATGTCAGAAATGATGAAAAATCCTAGAGTCCTGGAGAAAGCACAAGCTGAGGTGAGGCGAATCTATGATGAGGTGAGGCGAATCTATCTAAAGGTTCCTATCTAAAGGTTGTCTAACAGAAATCTAAAGGTGGCATTGCCTGAGATAACTCAGAATACCAGAATAAACTATCTAGAAAATGTTATGCTGATTTAGTCCCTATACTTGTTCTCGTTTATCATTATAGTATTTAAAGAATTTTATTTATGCTGATATCTGAAATTATTAATCGATATCACCGTGAGTATACTGTCTATTGACTAATGTCGTCAATAAATATGACATAATACGATAAGTAGGGACTATTGTAAGATTTTTATGTTAGGGGGTAAACTTTTAAAATTTTAGGAGGGGATAAACTTATAAAATTTTAGGGGAACTTATAAAATTTTAGGGGACGAAAACATAATTTCAATAAAAATATATAGAAAATTTCTAAAATATATAGTAATTTTAAATTTTCTGGAGGACGGCTGTCCCCACCCGCCCCTCGATCCATCCCGATGATAAGTGCAGGAAAACACCACGATACAAATATGAATCAAGTGATTTTAGTGATTAAAACGATAATGGTTATCTCTAGATGTCTCAGGTTCAAGTACGACGTCTGTAGGGATGTTTGAATGTTTATTGTCAAATAATTGATAGTCTTTTGAACATATATTATATTATAATCATCACATACTAATAAAAAAATCTCAATTTAAAAATTAATAGTATCCTTGAAAAATTAGAAAAATATTATAATTTCAAATGCTAAAGTGATAAAATAATTTGTTTAAATACTAAAGTGATAAATGAAAACAATTTTGGGAGCTACATTAACATTTGACCATTATAGAATAATAACTTATCTACGTGGAAATATACAATACATTAAATTGCAATCGAATCACCGAACCCCAGTGTTTTGAAAGTCGGACCGAATCGGTCGGTTCAACCGGGAACCGTTGTCTAGTCCGGTTTAATCTACACCGGTTGAACCGCTACTAGTGAATCGGCCGGAACCGCTGAACCATTCGAACTGGTCCGGTTGAAAACCGGAAAAAACCGTCAATTATTTTTTTAAAAAAAAATTAAATCAAACGACGTCGTTTGTTAAACGAGCCAAGTCGAACTCGAGTATTGTTGAGCTCAACTCGAACTTGAAAACTTTAAAAGTAAGCTCAACTCGACTCAAACTCACGAGCTAAAAATTATCAAGTTCAACTCAAACTCGAAATATAATATTGAAACTTGAACTCAAAAAGGCTTGAACTCAAAAAAAAATTAAAAGCTCGATTGAAGCCTAAAATTCGAGCTTGATTGAAGTGAAAGAATAGTTCACTCAATGCTCACCAAAAGGCTCCATGATTTTGAATGCCAAATTACCTCTATTATTTATAGAAGTTAGTTGTGATGCTCTTCTATGTTTCTTAGCCATGTGCGATTGTTTTGTTCTCATATTTTTACTCTTTAGACTTTTGAGATTCTTTTCTATGTTTCTTAGCCTTGTGAGATTATTTTTTTTAAAAAATTAAACCAAACAATATCATTTTGTTATGATTTTTTTAGCCCCAAATTTATTTTTTAATTATAGTTATATAATTATATTTAATATTTAATATGTTTTACCTTAATTATTATGTTGTAGTTAATTTGAATTATTTTGTTTCACTTGATTTTATGGTTTTAACTTGTATATGTTATGACTTGCTTTGAATATGACTTATGAAATAAAAAATTATTTTATTAAATATTTTTGATATTTTTATTTAATTTTTTAAATAATTATGATGTCGTTCGGTTCTTTCGATCGATAAGATCGATTGAACCAATGAACCAATAACATAACTGATTCACTAATCGATTTGATTCTAAAAACCATGCCGATCTCCGATCCCCTCCCTGTTTTACCATAGAACTTTCTCGGTGTAAATATTCAATTCGTACGACATGCATGCATGTCCTGTGAGATATGATTATTATACACTCAACCAAGATTCAAGTTTGAATTGAAATTGAAGAAGAGAATAATTTTACTTTATTTTTTATTTTTATTTTGAAGGTTAAATAGGATGAAAATAATAATTTAAGTAATCAAAAAATAAAATATTTTTAAATTTAAATGTGAAAACGAGTCAAATTAATTTTTTTTAAATAATATGTGTGATTATACTGTGTTATCTATTTAGATTTTTTTAGTTTATATCTATATGTACATATCATGCAGATATAACTGTTCGAACTGAGTCTTATAAAAAAAATAATATTCTATTTAACTATTAAAACCACTTGATGAATTTGAGTAAAATCAAGATTAAGATTAATTTTTTATTATTAAATATATGCATAACTTTTGACTATGTATGTAAAGGATGAACTACATCACTAGTCACCAATCTATTATTATTTATTTATTTTAGTCGTTAATTATAATTTTAGAAAAAGTGCCACCAATTATATTTATTTCTATTTTGATAACTGATCATTAAAAAATTAACGATAATATTAATATGAATTTTTAAATTTCGTGTCATTTTTTCTTTGTCAACATCAATCTCATTTTTGTTTTCAAATTCGGTGATCAAAATATAAAAAATATTTAATAGTAGTTATTTTTTTTAATAAAAACAAATAAATTAATAATTAAAATAAATAATTAAAATCAGTAATTAGTAATTAAAAATTTCCAAAACTTTAAAACTTAGGGTCTGTTTGTTTCACTGAAAACGTTTTCCGGAAAATATTTTTCGTAAAATGAATACATTTTCTGGAAACCATTTTACGATATTTTGAATATATTGTTTAAACCCTTTTTTCCACTAGTTAATAAATTTTTTAAAATTATTTATTACAAATATTAATACAGTAAATAATTATTTATCATAAAACTTAATATATTATTTTTTAAATATTAAAATAATTTATTTATTAATAAAATATTATTTTTATAATTTTATTATTAAAATATTAATATTGGTATATTTTATTGAAATAAAAATATTTATTAAAGTAATAGTGTTATATTATATTTTAAAACTATTAATTAGTATATTTTAAATATCTTTATTAAAATATTATTAGATTCTTATGTTAATATTAAATATATAAATAATATTATTCGTTATTAATAATTTAATAATATTATTTCTATGAAATTAATAATAATATAAATTTTATTAATAATTTATTATATTATTAAAATAAAAATATAATATCTTTATTTATTATAATATATTGATTATTTATTATAATATTAAAATATAATTTATTATTAGAAATATTAAATAAATATTTTAAATATTTTATTAATTAATATTTTGATTAAAATGATATTAAAATATTTTATTAATATTACATTCATAAAATAAAATTATTTTGTGTATTTATTATTTGAAATAAAAAGTTCGAAAAATGACTTACGAAAAATCAGACTGTGAGTTATTTTTCAAAAAACACAAATGAAATTTTATTGATAAAAAAAAATATTTTACATTAATCAACCAATTTTCCTCCAACTAAATACTAAAAAATATTTTCCAAAAAAACGTTTTACCTTAAACAAACAAACCTTTAGTGCACTAAATTTTCCAAAGAGCACATAACATGACTGTTGTCCTTCGCTTCTTTGGTGAAATTAAGTAGCACATTATTTCACCTAATAATGATAATTTGGAAAATTCGTACTCAATATACAATACATATATATGGAACATTTCAATTTATTGTCGAAAAAGTATTCTTTTAATCTCACGCTAATTAATTAAATAAACATAGTTAAATCTATCAAATATGGAATTTTATACTATTTTTGTTTTACTCCCGTTTACAAGATTTCATCTTGATTAATCTTGACCGACCCACATCGCACACGCTAATTAACTAAATAAACATAGTTAAATCTATCAAATATGGAATTTTATACTATTTTTTTGTTTTACTCCCGTTTATAAGATTTCGTCTTGATTAATCTAGACCGACCCACATCGCACACGCGAGACCTTACTTAAACGATATCAAGTTGTTTACCACTTGAACTAACCATTGTTAGTAAATTTTATATTATCTTTATAAAAATAATTTAAATTTTATATTCGAAAATTTTCATTAAATGATGAACTCATTCGTGGACCAATATTTTTTATGACCAATTTAGAAAATGAGATAAAAAAAATGATTTTTCGGTTAATGTTATCTACCTTAGCTTGTAAAATTTCATTTACAATTCAATCTTCATAACTATAGTTAAATTATAATTTTGATTACATTTTTATTGGTATTTATTTAAGTTCACACGCACTATATTAATTTTTTTTAAATTAACATGTAATATTCTAAGAAAAAGTGTAATATAAACAACAACAATAAAACCCTATTCCCATATGTAATGGGGTAAGAGGAGGTAGGGTAGTAGGCTGCCCCTAACGCTAGGTTGAGAGCAGCTTCTGTAGAAGACCTCCAGCAGTGAGCAATTTAAAAATAAAGATAAAATACAATGTATGTATACATAAATAAATAAATACATAGTTGAACAGTCTTCATATGCATTCTTCATATGAGCGTCTGTAATGGGAAGTAATCCCTGCAAATAAATTCCTGCGTGAAAATCTATGCATATAGACAAAAATATAACACCTGCTAAATTTAAAAAGAGGAAAAATGAAGAGAAGAATACACAGAAGTCAGCGATAGCAAGCTACAAGAAGGAATAAAGTCAAATGGGTTAAAAACCTAAACTAAGGCAAAACTACTCCGCTACCCTAGTTCTAAGGCTTCATAAACTCCAATGACAAAAGCGTATAAAAAGTAGAAGTCATGGAAATTACTACAAAGGCATTAAAAAGAAGATAGAGATGCTACCCCCTATGGCTGTGACCCACACTACTCGGCTACCCTGGTTCTAAGTCTCCATACTTTCCTATGAAAGGTCATGTCCTTGGTAAGAGATAAATCCTTCAAATCAAATCTCAAGCAGTCTACCCACTTCCTCCTTGGTCTTCCCCTCCTTCTGGCACCGTCAGCTGTAATCGACTCTACTCTCATGACCGCATCCGACGGTTGTCGCCTAAGGACATGCCCAAACCACCATAGTCTTCCCTCCCTCAATTTTTCGGATACATGCATCACCCCCGAGGACATCCTAATTGTAGAGTTTGATGTCATGTCCCACAGAGTCTTACCATATGCTCATCGAAGCATTCTTATTTCTGCTGCCTCCATCCTCCTTACATGATCCTTCTTGATTGCCCAACATTCTGATCCATACAACAGCGCTGGTCTTATTGCCATTCTATAAAATTTTCCCTTAAGTTTTAGAGGCACATTCTTGTCACACAAAACTCCAGTAGCAGCCCTCCACTTTAACTATCCCGCCTTTATACGGTGTGTAACGTCATCATCTACACCCCCACTTTATGTATCATAGACCCTAGGTACTTGAAACAATCCTTTGAGGGGAGAACGTGTCCTTCTATACATACTTCTACATCTTCAACGTTTTGGTTCCCACTGAAGTTTGAACATAAATACTCTATCTTTTCAATATTGATCCTTAGACCTTTTTCTTCCAAAGCAGTCTTTCAGGTAGCAAGTTTACTATTCAACTCGGTTTTTGTTTCAACAACTAGGATAATGTCGTCAGCGAAAAACATACACCATGGAACACCGTCTGGTGTCGCACAATAAATGTCGTCCATAATCAAGGCGAAGATGTAAGGGCTAAGAGATGATCCCTGGTGGAGTCCGATTTCCACCAGGAATGCCTCAATGTCGCCAACTGTAGTCCTGACGTATGTAGTAGATCTACAGTACATATCACGAATCGCCCGGATATAAGCAGTTGGAATCCGTCTCATTTCCAAGGTCTTCCAGATCGTATCGCGGGGGACGCTATCATACGCCTTCTCGAGGTCAATGAACGCCATGTGAAGATCTCTATTTTTTTCCCTATATTTCTCCATAAGCCGTCGAAGTAGATGAATCACCTCCGTAGTAGACCTGCTTGGCATAAAGCCAAATTGGTTTTCTGAAACCCTAGTAACCTGTCTCAACCTAACCTCTATCACCCTTTCCCATAGCTTCATGATATGACTGAGTAGTTTAATACCTCTGTAGTTACCACAACGTTGAGGATCTCCTTTATTCTTATAGATTGGTATCACCGTAGACTCTCTCCACTCCTCTGGCATCTTGGCAGTCTATAAAATAATATTAAAGATGTTGGTCAACCACTTTACTCCCTCTTCTCCTAGGGCCAACCACACAGTGATAGGAATTTGATCTGGACCGATAGCTTTGTCCCTCCCCATTTTTCTAAGAGCCATTTTGACTTCCTCAATCCCAATCCTACTTGTAGGGCAGTCATTGACCGTAGTATGATGGTCGGTTGACCCATCAACGATACTATCTCTACAGGGAGAGGCACCGTCATTAAATAAGCCAAAGAAGTAACTACCCCAAACCCTCTTAATATCATGATCTTTCACTAAAAGAATACCATTGTTGTCCTTAATAAACCTAATACTACCTATATCCTTTTTCCTATTCTCCCTGGATTTTGCAAGTCTGAAGATGCCGTTTTGTCCTTCCTCCTGTATATTTCCTCGTATGCCTTATCCTTTGCTTTAGCCACTGTTTTCTTGGCTTCTCGCTTTGCCTTCTTGTATCTTTGTTTAGCTCTCGATCTTTCTTCATCGTCATTGCATTTTAATTTAATTTTTTTTGTCTTTTGATTATCTAAAACTTTGCTCTGATTAATTCAGACCAAACTATGTTACACACCTGCTTTTGACTAGCGAATCTCTCGGTAAAAATTTTCTACGTACACAAAATTTCAAATTCGAAATATTATTTAAGCTAAATTGGTTATTACTTAAATCAATCGAGTTGATAAATAACTAATTTAATTACATTGTGGTATTACTATTTTATATAAATAGTAAAGTACAATTTAAATCTCATAATTTTCACATTATTCTTCAGGCAATAATGTATTATATTTTCATATTATTTATTTTTTTAAAATAACTTTTTTCTTTCAAAAATAATTTTTTCTATTTTTGACTATAAATATATACAATAGATTCGCTTACAATAGCTTCTCTAGTTCATACAATTCTTCTCCACTTTTCTCTTTTCTCTCTCTTTCTTTGATATATCAAAAACCCTAATTTGCGATCGAAAAATCCTTGCTTTCCCCCAAATGCACTTCTAATTATCAATCCCACTTTTCCTCCCAATTTTATGATCCTTATTTGATCCTCATATTCTAATAGTGATAATTAGACAAAAAGCCCTATCTTTTCTAATTTAATTTCTAACCTTTTAAAACTTCTTCGATCAATTCTCGGTTGCTTTGAGAATTGATCGGTTCTCAGAATCCTCATTTCCTGAAATGCTCCTTTCTTGCTCAACATGAAGCTCAAGCGAAGGAGATATTCTGAAGTGGTATGTACATGATTATCATTTTCTGTTTACAATTATTTTTTATTATATTTTGTGCTTTTGGTATTGATTATTTGTTTTCGATTTTTTTGGCGTTGTTTAAACTGTTAAAATTATGCGAAGTTCGGAATTTTATCCTTTTATTGATCAGGATTAACGATTTTAATTTGTATATATTTCAAGTTCTTGATTGGTTGAAGTTCGTTTCTAATGGAAACGTTCGATATTTGATTTTTCTTCATACTCTCCTTAATATAATAAGCGTAGTCGAGATGCTGGTGGAATTGCTAATATATATTTCTGATTTATGTTTTTTTAAATACATATTTGAATACTGTGAGTGCTTTCTAACCTCCTTTCATACCTTGTAATTAGGCATTGATAAATAATACTTGATTTATTGGCCAAGAAATGATAGGAAGTGAGATCAACTTAGATATTTACTTTGAATTCTGAATGTTAGAGCCTTCAACATTTTTTTGGGGTTTGAAGTAAATTTTAGCTCAAAAAACCCAAATAGAATAAGATATCAAATAAATAACTAAGTCAGCATAAAATTGATCTTTTATTGGCAAACTGTTCAGGCGTTTTTTTTAATTCTGAATTTTGTGTCATTTTATTAATGTGGAGATAATAAATGTTTTGCACTTGTTGCAACTTGCAACATATTTATGCCTGTTATTAAAAAAAAGGAAAGAAAAAAGAAGCAAGGAGATAGCTTTAAGTCCTGGGTTAAGCATAGGTTATGTTGGAGATTCCTAAATTTAGCCGATTTCTGTATAGCATGATCTGGAAATGGTTTTTGTCGACATTTTGAGAGTGTAAGTAATAGCTATTTGGCTTAGAGATTGATTGTTGAAAGGTGAGCAAAATATTCTTACTGGAGTAGAAGGAGGCTTGAGATTATACGAATAGAGTGCTATGGAAACAAATTTTGGTTCCTTTTATGTCATGCTTATTTCTTCCCTCCTAGAAAGCATTTAGTAGCTTTCAGACTGTTCAGTATTGGGTATGTTGTGTTTCTCTCTTTTCAGCATTTTCTGATTTTACTGTTCTGCTTCTAATATTGGTAGGACATGTAACTCCAGGATTATTTTGATGCCTATAGCTAAAGTAACTGTTTTCTGTGTTGATTTGTATCAGCCTCCCAAAATCAGATCCTTCATCAATAGTGTCACTTCTGTGCCGCTGGAGAATATAGAGGAACCCCTAAAAGATTTTGCTTGGGAGTTCGATAAGGTGCCTGTTTAACCTTTATTTGATAAATATTGCAGTATCTGAAATGCAGTTAATTAACTTTGTTGTTAATGGTGCAGGGAGATTTTCACCATTGGGTTGAGCTTTTTAACCATTTTGACACATTTTTTGAGAAGCATATAAAACCAAGGAAGGATTTGCAGGTTGAGGATAATTTTAGGATCTGATCCTCCTTTCCCCAGGGAAGCAGTTCTTCAAATTCTTCGTGTTATAAGAATAGTTTTGGAAAACTGCACAAATAAGCATTTTTATAGCTCTTATGAGGTATTTTTTTGGTCTTAGAAGTTCTATGCTTTCTTATCCTTTAAGAAAAAGAGATATTAGTAGATCTGTATGCTTTGCAATCTCTGTATCTCTTTTGCATTTCTTTCCAAGTTAGGGATCATACATATTAACTACTTTGAAGCTTTTAATTAGCTATTATTTTTCTGTTCTTTCTCTCATCTGACCTTAATTTTCTATTTTTTGGTACCTTGTTTTTTGCAGCAGCATCTTTCATCCTTGCTTGCATCAACTGATGCTGATGTTGTCGAGGCTTGCTTGCAAACTTTAGCTGCTTTCTTGAAGAAAACAATTGGGAAGTACTCTGTCAGAGATGCATCTCTGACTTCCAAGTTATTTGCTCTTGCACAAGGTTGGGGGGGAAAAGAGGAGGGCCTAGGATTGATTGCATGTGCTGTTCAGAGTGGATGTGATACGGTTGCTTGTGATCTTGGGTGTACTCTCCATTTTGAGTTCTATGCATCAAATGAGTTCTCTTCCTCGGAACAGTCTACCCAAGGTTTACAAATTATTCATTTACCTAACATCAACACTTATCCAGAGACTGATTTGGAACTCTTGAATAATTTAGTTGCTGAATATAAGGTACCAACCAATTTAAGATTTTCTTTATTGTCAAGATTGCGATTTGCAAGGGCTTTTGGCTCTTTAACATCTCGGCACCAGTATACACGTATTCGCTTGTATGCCTTCATTGTTCTTGTTCAGGCAAGCAGTGATACTGATGACCTTGCGTCTTTCTTCAATAATGAGCCTGAGTTTGTCAATGAGTTGGTTACTTTACTGAGTTACGAAGATGCAGTTTCTGAGAAAATTCGAATTTTATGTCTGCTTTCTTTGGTTGCTCTTTGTATAGACCGATCCCGCCAACCGACAGTATTAACAGCTGTCACATCTGGTGGACACCGTGGCATTCTGTCCAGCCTCATGCAGAAAGCCATTGATTCTGTTATTACCAATTCGGCAAAATGGTCTGTTGTGTTTGCTGAGGCTCTGCTCTCTCTTGTCACTGCATTGGTTTCATCATCATCAGGTTGCTCGGCCATGCGTGAAGCAGGGTTTATCCCTACCCTTCTACCTCTGCTGAAAGATACCGATCCTCAGCATCTGCATTTGGTTACTTCAGCAGTCAATATTCTGGAAGCCTTTATGGATTACAGTAATCCTGCAGCTGCTTTGTTCAGAGACCTGGGTGGTTTAGATGATACAATCTCTCGCTTAAAACATGAAGTGTCTTATGTGGAGAACAGTCCAAAGCAACCAGCTGAAGACTCTGATTGGAGCGGGAGGAGTTCGCAAGTAGTATCAGCCGTATCAACTGAGCTTGACAATACGCAGCCTTTGTATTCTGAAGCATTAGTTTCCTATCATCGACGTCTACTCATGAAAGCTTTATTACGTGCTATATCTCTTGGAACATATGCCCCTGGAAACACTGCACGTGTTTATGGATCTGAGGAAAGCTTGTTGCCACAATGCTTGTGTATCATATTTAGACGAGCAAAAGATTTTGGTGGGGGAGTTTTTGCACTTGCAGCAACTGTCATGAGTGATCTCATTCACAAGGATCCAACCTGCTTTCCTGTCTTAGATGCTGCTGGTCTTCCATCTGCCTTCCTAGATGCGATAATGGATGGTGTGCTCTGCTCTGCAGAAGCCATAACATGCATACCTCAGTGTTTGGATGCGTTCTGTCTTAATACTAATGGTCTTGTGGCTGTGAAAGATCGCAATGCTTTGAGGTGTTTTGTCAAGATTTTTACTTCTAGAACATATTTGCGATCTCTTACCGGAGATACTCCTACTTCATTGTCAAGTGGCTTGGATGAACTTATGCGTCATGCTTCTTCATTGCGTGCACCTGGAGTGGATATGGTGATTGAGATCTTGAATGTCATATCGAGAATAGGATCTGGGGCTGACACTTCTTTTGCTGCTGAATCTTCCTCCCTGTTCCTATGGAAACTGATGCGGTAGAGAGGAATCTGATTCAGCCAGATGACAGGGAATCTTCAAGGTTGGAGAGTTCAGAGCAGATCTCTGAGCCATCTTCGGATACTTCTTCAATGAATATTGAATTGTTCCTTCCTGATTGTATAAACAATGTGGCCCGTCTTCTTGAAACCATTCTTCAGAATTCTGATACGTGCCGTTTGTTTGTTGAAAAGAAAGGGATTGATGCTGTCCTACAGTTGTTTACCTTGCCTTATTGCCTCTTTCGGCATCGGTTGGACAGATCATTTCTGTTGCCTTCAAGAATTTTCACCTCAGCATTCTGTATCTCTGGCTCGGGCAGTTTGTTCATTCCTAAGAGAACAGCTGAAGTCAACAAATGAACTGCTAACTTCTATTGGAGGAACTCAGCTAATCACTGTTGAAACTGAAACTCGGACTAAGGTTTTGAGATCTCTTTCTAGTCTTGAAGGTATATTGTCTCTTTCCAATTTTCTTTGAAGGGCACTACTAGTGTTGTCTCTGAGTTGAGCACTGTAGATGCTGATGTATTGAAAGATCTTGGGAGGGCATACAGGGAAATAATATGGCAAATTTGTTTGTCTAATGATACCATGGCTGATGAGAAGCGGAAAGCTGATCAAGAAAGTGGAAGTACTGATATAGGTCCAAATGCTGCTGGAAGAGAAAGTGATGATGATGCAAGTATCCCAGCAGTGCGATACATGAACCCAGTTTCTATTAGGAGTGGTTCTCAGTTTCTGGGTAGTGCTGAACGAGAGTATCTTTCACTTGTTCGTTCTAATGAAAGTTTGCACCGTCGTAGTCGACATGGTTTGTCACGTTTAAGGGGTGGAAGGAATGGTCGACAACTGAATGCTCTTAATATTGATTCTGAAACTTCTCATAGTTTGCCAGAAACGTCACCTGTCCAGGATTTGAAAACAAAAAGTCCTGGCCTTCAAGTGATAGAAATTCTCAACAAGCTTGCCTTCACATTACGGTCCTTTTTCACAGCTATCGTTAAGGGGTTTACCTCACCTTACCGTCGTAGAGCTGATGCCGGTTCATTAAACTCAGCTTCAAAGACTCTTGGTATGGCGCTGGCTAAACTATTTCTTGAGGCACTGGGTTTCTCTGGGTATTCTTCTTCAGGACTTGATACATCACTGTCAGTCAAGTGTCGATACCTTGGGAAAGTTGTTGATGACATGGGAGCATTGACATTTGACAGCAGGCGGCGTACATGTTACACAGGAATGGTTAATAATTTTTATGTCCATGGAACTTTTAAGGAGCTACTTACCACTTTTGAAGCTACTAGTCAGTTATTGTGGACGTTACCCTACTCTATCCCTACACCTGGAATTGAGCATGAAAAAGCAAGTGAAACAAATAAATTGTCCCATGGTACATGGCTGCTTGATACATTACAATGCTACTGCCGTGTGCTTGAATATTTTGTTAACTCTTCATTGTTATTGTATGGGAATTCTGCATCTCAAACTCAGCTGCTTGTTCAGCCAGTTGCTGCTGGTTTGTCAATCGGACTCTTTCCTGTTCCTAGGGACCCAGAAATTTTCGTCCGAATGCTGCAGTGTCAGGTGCTGGACGTGATTCTACCTATCTGGAACCATCCTTTGTTTCCTAATTGTAGTCCTGGTTTTGTGGCTTCTGTGTTTCTATTATCATGCATGTATACTCGGGCGTTGGCGATGTGAAACGAAATCACACCAGTGTTGCAGGAAGTACAAATCAACGTTTCATGCCCCCACCACCTGATGAAGGAACCATTGCTACCATTGTTGAGATGGGGTTTTCAAGGGCTAGAGCAGAGGAAGCCCTGCGACGAATTGAAACAAATAGTGTTGAAATGGCCATGGAATGGCTGATTAGTCATGCTGATGATCCTGTGCAAGAGGATGATGAACTAGCTCGAGCACTTGCTTTATCACTTGGAAATTCATCAGAGACATCCAAAGTTGACAGTGTTGATAAGCCAATGGATGTCATGAAAGAAGAAGGGCGACCTGCAGCTCCTCCAATTGATGATATCCTCAATGCATCTGTGAAGTTATTCCAGAGTAGTGATAACATGGCATTTTCATTGACAGACTTGCTTGTTACACTTTGCAATCGTAACAAAGGAGAAGACCGTCCGAAAGTTCTATCATTTCTTATTCAGCAGCTGAAGCTCTGTCCATTGGATTTTTCTAAGGATTCCACTGCATTATGTATGATATCTCATATTGTAGCACTGCTTCTTTCCGAGGATGGAAATACACGTGAAATTGCCGGCCAGAATGGCATATTACCTGTTGCTATTGATATATTGATGGATTTCAAGGCTAGAAATGACTTGGGGAGCGATATCACTGCACCAAAATGTATCAGTGCTTTACTGTTGATCTTGGATAACTTGTTGCAGGCTCGTCCAAAAATATTTTCTGATACGGTGGACGGTACGCAGATGGTATCTCAGCCTGACTCATCTGGGGAGCATGCTTCTTTGACAATTCCAGAATTAAATACAGAGAAAAAATCAGCTTCAGATGCTAATGAGAAAGAATCAATCACTTCATTTGAGAAAATATTGGGTAAATCTACTGGTTACTTGTCCATGGAAGAGAGTCAGAAGTTGCTTCTTCTTGCATGTGACCTAATCAGACAGCACGTTCCGGCAGTGGTCATGCAGGCTGTTCTTCAGTTATGTGCTCGCTTAACAAAAACACATCCTCTAGCTTTGCAATTTCTTGAAAATGGAGGCTTAGCTGCTCTTTTTAGTCTTCCAAGAACTTGTTTTTTCCCTGGTTATGATACTGTTGCGTCTGCAATTATTAGACATCTCCTTGAAGATCCTCAGACTCTGCAAACTGCAATGGAACTGGAGATTAAACAGACTTTGAGTGGAAGCAGGCATGCTGGCCGGGTTTCACCTGGAACATTTTTGACATCTATGGCACCTGTTATCTGCAGAGATCCTGAAGTTTTTATGAAAGCTGCTACTGCAGTTTGTCAATTGGATTCATCAGGGGTTAGGCCCTTTATAGTTCTGTTGAAGGAAAAGGAGAGAGACAAAGACAAATTGAAAGCTTCTGGTGCCGAAGTTGGGTTAGCTTCAAATGAATCTGTGCGAATTCCTGAGAGTAAAGTAATGATGGAACAGGTAGGTGTTCCAAAGGCCACAAAAAGATTCCAGCAAATCTTGCTCAAGTGATTGATCAGCTTCTTGAAATAGTTCTGAAATATCCTTCTGCAAAAGGCCAGGAGGATGGTGCAACTAGCTTAACTTCAATGGAGATTGATGAACCTGCAAGCAAAGTGAAGGGTAAGTCAAAGCTTGAAGAAACTAGGAAAATGGAGTCTGAAACTGAAATATCTGCTGGGTTGCGAAGGTGACTTTTGTCCTTAAGTTGTTGAGTGATATTCTTTTAATGTATGTACATGCGGTAGGAGTCATATTGAAAAGGGATTCAGAAATGGGTCAACTCCGTGTTTCTATTCAATCGGATGCATCTGGCGGCCCTGGCATTGTTCATCATATTTTGCATAGGTTGCTTCCATTAGCTGTTGATAAGTCATCTGGACTTGATGAATGGAGGGACAAGTTGTCTGAAAAAGCTTCTTGGTTTCTGGTAGTTCTGTGTGGTCGTTCCAGCGAAGGTCGTAAAAGAGTGATTAATGAACTTGTGAAAGCCTTATCTTCTCTCTCAAATATAGAGAGCAATTCAATGAATAGCTCATTGGTGCCTGGCAAAAAGGTTTTTGTTTTTGCTGATTTGGCATATTCAATTTTGTCAAAGAATTCATCATCAAGCAACTTACCTGGCACTGGCTGCTCACCAGATATAGCAAAAGCATGATTGAAGGAGGAGTGGTTCAATGTCTAACCAATATTCTTGAAGTGATTGATTTGGATCATTCTGATGCACCCAAAACTGTAAATCTGATGCTTAAGGCTTTGGAAAGCCTGACAAGGGCTGCTAATGCAAATGAACAGGTTTTCAAGTTAGAAGGTTCCAACAAGAAGAAGTCTTCAAATGAAAGACATACCGATCAGGTAACTGTATCTGCTGCTGACGATAGAGCACAATCAGAATGGGGATGATCAACCAGCAGTGGTAGATGCGGGGGTTACTGAACAGCAGCCTCATCAAGCAACTTCACAAATTGAAAATCGCAATGTTAACCCGAATGATCCTATTGACCAAGACATGAGAGTTGAAGTGGAGCCTGTAGCTAGCAACAGGCCTGTTGAAATTGGGATGGATTTCATGCGTGAAGAAATGGAAGGTGTGTTGCACAATACTGACCAAATTGAGGTGACATTCAGAGTGGAGAATAGGGCAGATGATGATATGGGTGATGAAGATGATGACATGGCAGATGATGGGGATGATGATGATGACGACGACGAGGGAGAGGATGATGATGATGATGAGGATATAGCTGAAGATGGTGCTGGAATGATGTCCCTTGCTGATACTGATGTGGAGGACCATGATGATACTGGCTTGGGAGATGACTATAATGATGACATGATTGATGAGGAAGATGATGACTTCGATGGCCACCGCGTTATAGAGGTAAGGTGGAGGGAAGCCCTTGATGGGTTAGATCATCTGCATGTACTTGGTCAACCTGGAGCTGCAAGTGGTTTGATTGATGTGGCTGCTGAACATTTTGAAGGTGTGAATGTAGACGATCTCTTTGGTCTTCGTAGGCCTGTAGGTTTTGAACGAAGGATCTAATGGTAGGTCATCCTTTGATCGTTCTGGTACAGAAGTAAATGGCTTTCAACATCCTCTTCTGCTAAGACCGTCCCAGTCAGTGGACTTAAGCCCGATGTGGTCGTCTGGGGGGAATTCATCCAGGGATTTGGAAGCTCTCTCATCTGGGAGTTTTGATGTTACTCAGTTCTACATGTTTGACGCTCCTGGTATGCCATTTGATCATGCACCAAATAGTCTATTTGGTGATCGATTGGTTAGTGCAGCGCCCCCACCTTTGACTGATTATTCTGTAGGCATGGACTCATTGCATCTGCAAGGGAGGAGGGGGCCTGGTGATGGACGGTGGACTGATGATGGTCAGCCACAAGCAAGTGCTCAAGCCGCAGCAATTGCACAGGCTGTAGAGGAACAGTTTATATCTCATTGCGCAGTACGGCTCCAGCCAACAATTTAGCAGAAAGGCAGTCACAAAATTCTGGAATCCAGGAGTCAAACCATCAGATGCTCCTCCATCAAATGATGGCAAGGCTGTGGTAGAGGGAGACAATGCCAGTAGTGAGCAGAGTGAACATCAGCAGCTGGAAAATGACCATGGAATTTCACATGAACTTAATCCAACAGGTGAAAGTGTTACATGCAATGGGCAGCCCAATTCTCTGTCTTTTGCCAGTGATATGGCCGAATCTATTCAAAGTTATGAAGGGATATTAACTCAGATGTTTTCTTTGAACAATGCACCAGATGAGCAGGATAGCATGGAAATTGGAGACGGCAATGGCACACCTGCTGATCAAGTAGAGCAAATTTCCGAAATGGTTAACTTGCCTGAGGGGGATTCTGCTATGCCTGGAAACCTCTCACTGCAGGCCATGGGCGATGATGTATTGTCAGGAGAAGATGGTCAGGCAGGTAATTGTAGTTTGACAGATTCTGGTTTGGAGATGCCTAACCCAGGGGATTTTAATGGGTCTTCACTTCATGAGCGTATAGATGTTGACATGAATACTACTGATGCTGAAGGGAACCAAACTGAAGAACCAGTTCCTCCTGAAATTGGGGCAGAGGAGCCAGGCATGCTGGAGTCTCAGGATGCTAATCAGGCTGATCAAGCGAGTGTTAATATTGAGGGTCCTGGTTCTAATGACATTGATCCTACCTTCTTGGAGGCATTACCTGAAGACCTACGGGCTGAAGTTTTGGCTTCACAACAGGCCCAATCTGTTCAACCACCAACTTATGTACCACCTTCAGCAGATAATATTGACCCGGAGTTCTTAGCTGCTCTTCCACCAGACATTCAGGCAGAAGTATTAGCACAGCAAAGAGCACAGAGAGTTGCACAGCAAGCTGAGGGTCAACCTGTGGACATGGATAATGCTTCTATTATTGCCACCTTCCCTGCTGATCTCCGTGAAGAGGTTTGTAATGTAACATTTTTCTCATTGGTGACTGAACAATAATAACATTTTTTAGCCATTTCAGGTGCTTTTGACTTCTTCTGAAGCAGTTTTGTCAGCATTACCTTCTCCTTTACTCGCCGAAGCCCAAATGCTTAGGGATAGAGCAATGAGTCACTACCAGGCACGTAGTCTGTTTGGAGGTAGCCATAGGCTAAGTAATCGGAGGAATGGTTTGGGCTTGGATAGGCAAACAGTGATGGACAGGGGTGTTGGAATTACATTAGGCAGAAGGCCTGGCTCTACTATTTCTGATAGCTTAAAAGTGAAGGAAATCGAAGGGGAGCCTCTTCTCAACTCCAATTCTTTGAAAGCATTAATTCGCCTTCTACGGTTAGCACAGGTATTTCTATTTCAGTGTGCAACCTGGCTTACTGAATCTGATCCATCTGCCAATGTGGCTGGAGATTGATAACTTGAACGTCAATACAATTCTTGAAATGCTTTATATAGTTTTAATCTGTGGCTGGTTATGCTGTTTTTATAATGTAGTGTTTCTCCAAATAATTGATGGAAGTTCCGAAGCTTGCATTTTCTAACATGCATATTTTTGTTTTTTTTCTGTTTGTAGCCCCTTGGGAAAGGCCTTCTGCAGAGGCTTATGTTAAATCTTTGTGCACATAGTGTTACTAGGGCTACTTTGGTAAAGCTGCTGCTTGATATGATTAGATCTGAAGTTGAAGGCTCAAGCAATGGTTTGTCAACAATTAATTCCCAAAGGCTTTATGGTTGCAATTCAAATGTTGTTTATGGTCGGTCACAGTTGTTCGACGGTAATGGTTTCAGCTGATATAACTATACCTTTCTGAATTGGTTTCCCTCATCTTACCTATGATTTTGTATGTTGCAATAGGTCTTCCACGTCTTGTACTACGTCGTGTTCTTGAGATTTTTACGTATTTGGCTACAAATCATTCTGCCGTAGCAAATATGTTATTCTACTATGATCTTTCAATTCTTTCTGAGCCTTTGAGCCCGAAAACCTCAGAAACCAAGAAAGATAAAGGCAAGGAGAAAATTATGCATGGAGATGCATCAAAACCCTTGGGGAACTCTCAGGGGGATATTCCTTTAATATTATTTCTTAAGCTCTTGAACAGGCCGCTGTTTTCGCTCAGCACTGCCCATCTTGAGCAGGTAGTACGCTTCTAATTTATTGCCCTTCTAAACATTATAGTATAGATTAGCGGCTCTCTTACTCCTACTGGATGTTGATATAACCCTATATGTCCTATTTGTTTTAATATGGTATGTAATGGTGTAGGTTGTGGGCTTGCTTCAAGTAGTTGTCTGTACAGCAGCATCAAAATTAGAAAGCCGGTCAGTCTCTCACGTGACAATTGACAATTCGAATTCCCAGAAACAGCTGAGCAATGAAGCTTCTGGGGATGTTGATAAGGACCTTCCTTTGACAGAACCAGAGTCTAATCAAGAGAAGCAGACCAATGCTGAATCCTCTGGATCCAATAGCAATAAAAATGTGGATTTTTATAGTATTTTCTTGAAGCTACCGGAATCTGATTTGTGCAATTTGTGCAGTCTTCTTGGTCGTGAGGGGTATTATTCCTGATTCTTATCTCAGGATATGTTGAAGTTATTTATGCTTAAAATTTTATTTCCATTCTCTTTTTTAAATCCCATTTTTTCCTGACAAATCTTTTTATTTTTATTTTTCGTCCAGACTGTCGGATAAAGTTTATATGTTAGCCGGTGAGGTGCTGAAGAAATTGGCATCAGTTTCTGTGACACATCGCAAGTTCTTTTCCACAGAGCTTTCAGAATTAGCCCATGGTTTGAGTCGTTCGGCTGTCAATGAGCTTGTAACATTGAGGAATACACAGATGCTGGGTCTGAGTGCAGGTTCCATGGCAGGAGCTGCTATACTACGTGTGTTACAAGTTCTTAGCTCGCTCACTTCAACCAGTGTTGGTGATATGCCAGAGGGTGGTGATGATGAACAGGAAGAGCAAGCTACCATGTTGAAATTAAATGTATCATTAGAGCCGTTATGGGAAGAATTGAGTAATTGCATTGGCATGACTGAGGCACAGCTGGCTCAGAGCTCACTCTGTCCAACTGTATCAAATTTGAATGTTGGGGAGCATGTTCAGGGAACATCCTCATCATCATCACTCCCCCCTGGGACTCAGAGACTCCTTCCTTTTATTGAGGCTTTCTTTGTTATGTGTGAAAAGCTACATGCCAATCTTTCTATCATGCAGCAAGATCATGTAAATGTGACTGCGCAAGAAGTAAAAGAGTCTGCCGAATGTTCTGCTTCCATACCCTCCAAGAACATTGGGGATTCTCAGAAGAAGCTTGATGGTTCTGTCACATTTGCAAGGTTTGCTGAGAAGCATCGCAGACTTTTGAATGCTTTTGTTAGGCAAAATCCTAGCTTGTTAGAAAAACAACTGTCTATGCTGCTGAAAGCTTCTAGGTTGATTGACTTTGATAACAAGAGAGCATATTTCCGTTCAAGAATAAGACAGCAGCATGAACAGCACCTTGCTGGTCCACTGCGGATAAGTGTGCGGCGGGCGTATGTTTTGGAGGACTCTTACAATCAGTTACGAATGCGACCTACTCAGGATCTGAAGGGTCGTTTGAATGTGCAGTTTCAAGGGGAAGAGGGCATTGATGCTGGTGGACTGACGAGAGAATGGTATCAATTACTGTCGAGGGTCATTTTCGACAAAGGAGCATTACTTTTTACTACTGTGGGGAGCAATGCAACTTTCCAGCCAAATCCTAATTCCGTTTACCAGACTGAGCATCTTTCTTACTTCAAATTCGTTGGCCGCGTGGTAAGTTACTGGGTTGTTAGGTTCTGATGTGGGTGTTTATGGTGATCAGCATTAGTTTGTTTTCTTATTTTCTCTTGTGTGTCATATGCAGGTTGCCAAGGCACTATTTGATGGTCAACTTTTGGACGTTTATTTTACCCGATCCTTCTACAAGCACATTCTTGGTGTAAAGGTGACTTACCATGATATAGAGGCAGTTGATCCTGATTATTACAAGAATCTGAAGTGGATGCTGGAGGTTGGTTTAACTAATCAATTTCATGCCTGCTTATTGTGTATGACCTAATGTAGACAGAGCCAATGAATCCAATTGAAGTACTAATATCTCATTATCAATGGCCTTTTTTCTAATTTATTTCAGAATGATGTTAGCGACATTCCTGACCTGACTTTCAGCATGGATGCTGATGAAGAAAAGCACATACTTTATGAAAAAACAGAGGTATGCAAAGATCAAATTATAAGTTGTTTTACCCAGATTTTTCATTCAATTATATTCTTAATTTTTATGTTTTGCTTGAAAAAGGTTACTGATTATGAGCTTAAACCGGGAGGAAGAAATATCAGAGTTACTGAAGAAACAAAACACGAGTACGTAGACCTTGTTGCTGATCATATCTTGACGAACACTATTCGTCCTCAAATCAATTCCTTCCTTGAGGGATTTAATGAATTGGTGCCACGTGAACTTATTTCAATTTTTAACGATAAAGAGCTTGAGTTACTAATCAGTGGACTACCTGAAATCGATTGTAAGCTTACAAGCCTATGCTTTTATCTTTTCATTGAGTTTGCCTGGGGTTGTTTTAGCTTCTAACCATGTCGTCATTTTGCAGTGGATGATCTAAAGGCCAACACAGAGTATACTGGTTACACAGCTGCATCTCCCGTTATTCAATGGTTTTGGGAAGTTGTTAAAGCTTTTAGCAAAGAGGACATGGCAAGGTTGCTTCAGTTCGTCACCGGGACATCAAAGGTGATTTAATTGATTTTATATTGATCTGTTTAGGTTCTCTTTTTGTTGGCATCCATATCAATTGTTTTGGGTGTGTGTACAGGTTCCATTGGAGGGTTTTAAGGCGTTGCAGGGTATCTCTGGTCCACAGAAATTTCAGATTCACAAGGCCTTTGGAGCTCCTGAGCGGCTGCCTTCCGCACATACGTGGTGATGAATACATTCTTTATTACCGCCATATTGAATTCCTTATAATTTATTTGTTTGTTTTTAACATCTACTTTCGTATTGACTCGTATCTCCAGCTTTAATCAGTTAGATCTCCCTGAGTATTCCTCGAAGGAACAGCTTCAGGAACGAATGTTGCTTGCTATCCACGAAGCTAGCGAAGGATTTGGCTTTGGTTGAACAGAGTTTGTATTAACGAATGATATCAATGTCAGTAGAAGATTTTTTGTCAATCCGCAGTGTGTCGTATCGATTGTGAATCTGACATATATGTATGTGTTTCCATGTGCAGTTGCCTCATCTGATGAATTTGGCCACTGGGAAGTGGGTTTCAGATGCTGAAAGATTTAATGGAATTGGAGGGGAGGGGAATGAATGGTTTAATTTGATTAGTGGAGAGCTTCTATTCTAAACAAACAATGAAGAGGAAAAACATATTCCTTGTTCTTTGTAGTGTTAATGATTGAAAGATGGGTCTTCCTTGTAATATTTTTTCTTATCTAATTCTTGAAAAACAGTCCTCTGTTTGTATTTTGGGTGAGCCCCCCCCCCCCACAAACCTCGAGTAGTTCGTTTAATAATTATAATAATAACATAGTGATTAATTATTACAAAATTAAAATAAATAGATATTATCGAATCATATAAAAAGCATTTTTGTACTGAAATTTATATATATACGTATTGAGTTTAACATTATGGACAGATTATCTTGAGGTATTGGATTTAAGTAGGTGCGGTAATATGATATAAGTAGGCGCGATAATATACAAAAATTAAGAAAGGTTATAACTTTGGATTATAAGCAATTACTAATAGTTAAGAAAAAAATATAATTTTAGATTATAAACAATTTGGTGATTCCGTGAAAGAAAGAGACTTGATTAATGCTGCACAGTTGGTTGAAACCGACAATCATACATATGTTTAATTTTTTAATTTAACCATTTTTATAAGAAATAACAAAACTACTTTTCACCTATTTTTTACTTCTCTGTTTTAAAAGTTATTATATGATGGTGAAAATAAAAAAAAAATAGAGAAAAGCTCTCTGTCTTTGCTAAATATTAGATCAGACCATAAGCAACATAAGTTGATTTAATATAAAATTATATTAAAATAATGAGATAGACTAACCATCTCAGTTGGTAGAACATAAGGTTCTTAACCTTGAGGTCGTGGGATCGAGTCTCACGGAGGGCATTTCATAATTTGGAGGTCTTCTACGGAAGCTGCACTCAAACTGGTATTGGAGATAACCTACTATCTTACTTCCCCTTACCCCATTAAATAATGTAACTATATAAAATAATTTGGAATAATAACTCTTTTTCCTTGGTCAATGATGGAGCCACCTGACCTAGTCATTTGTTTCCACAATGACTACGGCTGTATCATATTAGTATTTTCATTCGAATCATATTGTATAATAATTATTAGTATTCTTTTATTTTTATGGTACAATCTTATTTACCATTATAATAGTTTGACGTTTTGTATTGTATTCGTCATAAAGTATCTTTTGATCAAGAAAGATCAACGTCCTTGTATAGTTTGATCGATAGGCAACGTTAAAAAAATTATTTCGGAGTGTTAAATTTAAAAATTAGATGAAAGAACCTTTGTAAATATGAGAAAATAAATTTGTGAAGTAATTTGTTACATTGATTCTTTCGATCTATATGACATCATTAAAATTGTGTCTAGGTTCAAGATAGATACATATAGCTTATTGATAGTTACTAGATTTTGATAAAAGATGAAACATGTATTAAAAGAATGACTTTATTTTTCGTCAATACTCTTTAGGTTTTTATGTTGTGATTATGTTGCTTCTATTTAATAAAAATTTAATTTTATTTGAAAGAAATATTAATGAATAACTGAATTAATTACACGAGGGAATGTGTTATTGTATATCATATCATATAGTTACATTTAAAAAATATTAGATATGATAATTGTGATTACATTACACGTGTCGAATATAAACGCGTGAAGCATGGCCTTTCCTTCTACTTTCCGCATGAATTAATTCTCTCTCTGACTTTGATTACTTCAAACTTCAAAGTGATGTAAATGTTTCCTTTTCGCGAGTGGTCCACAGCATCCAGTGGACCAGAAAACACCCCCACTCCCTCTGACTATGTCCGGACAGAGCTTTCATTGTAGCTGTATTGATCCGCCATAACCAACTACCTAAATTCCAAGCTTTTCTTTTCTGCAGTAACATGAGAATACCAAGAAACCCGACATGGAGTTTTGAAGTAGAAGAAGACCTAATATCTGACATGTATGTTTTCCATGCATGCTAAATATTTTGCGGAGATTCATATTCTAATTTCAATGTCGTATAGCAGCATCGAAAACACACTCGTCAACCGCTGCATGGGTTGCAAGTATTTGTTAATAGAAGAATTATGGTTGTAATCGTGCTTGATGATTTATTTCTTCTAATTTAAGTGGGAAGTTGTTAATTTTACGAGGGAAGTAAAAAGCGGATAAGTTGAAAAAGATGATGCATAGTGACATCAATTGAGAGATCGAAAGTTCAAGATCCTTTCTTCATCCATCCATAGTGATTTATATATTGATACTCAGTGATGTTGTTAGGTCTAGATCATGTAAGTTGGTAGAAAAAAGATATGATTTTAAGATAGTAGATTTAACTATGACACATCACGTGAAATTATCGTTAAATCGAATGATATAGAATAAAACTTCTAGAAGACAAAAAGAACATATAACAACACTAAAAGTCCAAAAATGTTTATCGTTTCATTTACCAGATCTAGGATTTATTCCTTACAACCTGGACTATATCAAATAATAATAATAATAAAAGAGAGACTTGTTCAATATATCAGTACCTCTTCCTCCTTATCTCCATCTCATCTGTAAACCATAGTCCGTAGGCCAGATGCAATCCTTGATCATATATACATACACATATATAGAAGACAATTTATATATATATATATATATATATATATATATATATATATATACATGTGGAGAATTACCTGATGAAATCTTTCAGCCTTTCCCTGCAACTCCAAGCTCATCAAACCTCGAAGAAAATCGATGGAGAAAGTAATTGAGAGGAAGGGCAAAGACAAGTTAAAACAAAACAGTTGTATAAAATAAAGCTTCAACCTCTGTTTTAACATTGCCATTGCCCTTTCTCTTAAACCTTCTGCTTATATTATTTGCAATCAATTCATGGCCCTTGCTTACAATCTTATTTGCCATTTATATAATACGCTGATTCATAAAAAAGAAGGAAAGATAGTACACGAGAGAATGGCAAGGCGTGTTAAAGAAAAAGTATGGATTTCAAAACTCAAACTCTTCCTTTAACTTGCCTGCAACTATATGAACCTCATCGAACTTGCAAGAAAATTGATGGAGAAAGTGTTTAAGAGGAAGGACAAAGACAAGTTAAGGGAAATGAGGAACTTGTGTCCCCTTCCGATAGGGCAAAGTGCTTCAACTTTTGCCTTAACTTGTCATTGCCTTCTTCTCAAACCCTTCTGCCTAATTATTGTACAAGCCTATATCAGGCATGCACCCTTTTGTCGCATGCCCTCATGTTTGTTTCTCTTGCTTGCCATATATTTATAGTGATATGTGAGCGGGGAAATGTTAGAACTACAAATTTACCCTATAGTTTCGAGGAAGGAAATGTTGGAACTAGAAGCTTTGACAATAAATTTACTTTCAAAATTTAAAAATAAAATGATTAAAAAAAGCTATAAAAATGTTGTTTATGCGTAAGAAACCTGCGGGAAACACTGATGAAGCTTCATCAGTTACAATCAAAAGCAAGAGATACTTAGCCACAAGTTATCAACTTTCCGAAAACCATAAAAAAATTACATTATTTATCCTTTTTAAATTATAGTAGATGATGAATTCATTGACAAAAGTGTTTTTTAGTTGAACTCCCGGATTTAAGTAGCTATGTATGTAAAATACTATCTTATAATCACACCAGACTATTAGAAAAGTTAGTTTTAAGAAGGTAGAGTAGATGAACATAACGAGCGGATTAATTTACAAATTAAATTAATATTGCCTGGTTGAGATTGATTGTTTGAGCTAATTAAAATAAGCTTTTGGTTCAATGTGGCATTAATTTGGTGATTATAATTCAATAATATAATTTTACATTATTTTTGTAATACATATATATTTGTTTAATTTATTCATTTAACGATTTTAACAATAAAAATTACTATCGTCGAGCCGAGTGAGATTAAAAAAATGGCCAGAAAAGAAATGTAAAGAAGTTGCATTAAACATTCTGAGAAGATGCATGGTAACCACGGGCGTGATAAATGTTCAAGGAATCTTTGTTTACTTGGTTGCGTTTAATTCACAGAATATAAGATTACCAGTGAGAATATGATTATCGACATGAATAAAATTATTGGAATATTGTATTTTGTGTTTGGTTCGTTTAGCAGGAATGTAAGATTATAGTGTTTGGTTAAAGGAATAAAAGATTATTGGAATGTATATTTTACCAAATTGTTCTTATTATATATTTGTTTTTAACAAATTGAATTCTAATGTAATTTTACTATAATTAATTTATATATTTTCTTTAAAAATTTTAAATTCATAAAATTTATATATTTTTTTACAAAATTAAAAAGATAAATATGTTTAATGAAAGGGTAAAATATTATTTTATCCCTGTATAAAATTCTAATTATGGATTTTTTTTTGTAAATCTAAAATAGTTTAAGGATAAATTTATAATTTAACATTCGCAGAAATTTTTTTATTCAACGACATAATAATGATAATTTAAAAAAAAAATTAAGGCGTTTTAGTCCAAAACACCGATAATCCAACAATACTTAAGGGAATGGGTAATCACATTCCCGATAATATACCCCCAAAATACCACTGTTGGGAATAAAAATTATCAGCTGTGAATATTTGGCAACCAAAATGGAAGAATAACATTATATTCCCCGAATAATGTGAACGGACTTGAACCAAACATGCCCTTTGTGTTTTTCTTTTTGGCTTCAACTTTTCCTATAAGATCTGTCCCACAAGAACTATGACACTACTAAAACAAATTCAACCAATCATAACGTGTCACGTGAATTTTTTAAAAAATAAAATTTTAACGATTTAATAAATGATTTTTTATTTTTATTAAAATTAATCGGTTAAAATGATCACGTAACGTGTTCTAATTGACCAATTTTTTTATTTAATGATGTTAAAAATAAAACGAAAAAAATAACTTTTGATAATTTGTGGGTAAAATATTATAAAAGTAATATAAAATAAAAATGATAAAAAATACTCTCTCTATCCTATTAATTTTATCTCATGTTGATAAATCACATAATTTTAAGAGATAAATTTGGTCTTATGTCAAATTATAAAAAATAAAAAATGATAAAATTTTTTTTTAAAAAGTGATTGATAGATTTAACAGAGTCTAGAAGAATGAGATATATAGAGAGAAAAAAAGGAAATGAGTGTTGTTATTTGTTAATTTTTTTAATAAATAATTTTAAATTAGACAATTTGAAAATATTAACAAATTTAGTGGGATAGAAAAAATATACTTTGAGAAACAAACGAACTTTTGAGCCTTAAAATTAAGGTAAACTACACGTTTAATACATGAATTAGTACTTTTGTTATATTTTGATACCTAAACTTTATTTTATTTCAAAATCATACCTAATGTTTAGTATATGTTTTAATTTGGTACCCGTCGTTAAAAAAATAACAGAACTGTTGATGTGACGTTTTTTCCAATATTGACGTGACATTACCTTATAATAACACGTCGATATCACCTTTAAGTTTTTAATGTCAGAGTATCAAAATAAAACCTAAACTAAACGTTAGGTATGATGTTGAAATAAAATAAAGTATGGGTACTAAAAAAGAAAACAGTAGTAGTTCAGGTACTAAACATGTAGTTTACCCTTAAAAGTATTAGATGTGTAAAAAGCTGAACCCAAATCGTCCTTAAATAAAAGGACCAAAAGTAAATCAGGCCCAATGTTTCAAAGAACTCAACAGTCTGAACCAACAACTCTATAAAACATAAGACACAGCTCAGAACAGTTAACACGAACACGACACAGCTGAACTAATGTTTTCCACTCCGAGTTCTTCCACCGCCAAAACACTATTATCTCCACTCAGCCAGAAATTCACAAAATTCAGACCCTTTTCTCTTCTTGGTTCCTTTGAATTTTCCACTACAACCTCAAAGCCTGATGTCCAAAACGCTACGCCTCAAAGCCACTCGCAGTTATCCGGTAACTCTTCACAACTGTTGTTTTGCTAAAAAAATCAACATTTGTATTAATATCTGTTTCTTATTATGACGTTTTTTGTTTTTTTTCGTTTTTCTTTGTTGGAAGATTTGGAGAACAGCATATATACAATTTTAACTATAGACCGTTGGGAGTCCTTGAACCACATGGATTACAAGTTAGCCTCTTTAAGACAAGTTCATGGAAGCTAGCTTTGAAATTTCTCAACTTTTTTATCAAACAGCCTGGTTTGAACACAATCATCTTGCTCATGTACTTTCAATAACAATCCATATTCTTGTTAGAGCTAGAATGTATGATTCTGCTAAATCATTGTTGAGGCGCTTATGTAAAATGAGTGTTGACTCCAAGTTTGTTTTTGGCGTTTTGATGGATACATACCCTCTTTGCAATTCAAACCCTTCGGTGTTTGATCTATTAATCAGGGGTTATCTGAAAGACGGAATGATTGATAATGCTTTGGAGACTTTCGGTTTTATGTGTTTTCGAGGATTTAAGCCGTCGGTTTATACTTGTAATATGATGTTAGGTTCAATGGTGAAAGATGGGAGAGTTTGTACAGTTTGGTCATTCTTCAGGGAATTGCTTGATTTGAAGATTTGTCCTAATATTGCTACTTTTAATATATTGATCAGTGTTTTGTGTGCCGAAGGGAAGCTCAATAAAGCTGTTTATTTGCTGAGAAAGATGGAGAACAGCGGTTACCTTCCGACTATAGTTACTTACAATACTTTACTCCATTGGTTTTGCAAGAAGGGGAGGTACAAATCGGCCTTTGAGCTGATTGATCGTATGGGGTCCAAGGGTATTGAAGCAGATGTCTGTACATATAATTTGCTTATTAACGATTTGTGTAGAAATGACCGAAGTGCAAAAGCTTACTTGCTGTTAAAAAAGATGAGAAAAAGAAGGATATCTCCCAATGCCATTACCTATAACACTCTTATTAATGGGTTTGTAAAGGGGGGAAATGTTCGGATTGCTACTCGGATTTTTAATGAGATGGCATATTTTAATCTCGAGCCGAATATTGCTACTTACAATGCTTTGATTGAAGGTCTTTCTAATGAGGGTAACTTTGAAGAAGCTCTAAGACTCGTGGATATGATGGAAAAAGTGGGATTACAACCTAACGAAGTTAGCTACGCAACGCTTTTAAATGGGTTGTGCAGGCATGCTAAGTTCGATTTAGCGAGAAGTATTTTTGAGAGATTGAGGACAATTGGCATGGGTTTTGGTTGTATACCATACACTGAGATGATTGATGGACTATGCAAGAATGGATTCTTCAATAAAGCTGTACATATGCTTCATAAGATGTTCGAGGAAGGTGTGACTCCTGATATTATCACATTTTCCGTGCTTATAAATGGACTTCACAGGGCTGGGAATATAAAAAGTATGAAGGAAATTATATGTAAAATGTATAGAGCTGGTTTTGAACCTAACAAAGTTATTTACTCCACATTAATCTACAATTTCTGTAAGATGGGATTCATCTCTGAAGCATTGAATATCTACAGAATTATGAATTGCAGCGGTCATGCTGCTGACAGTTTTACTTGTAACATTGGTTGCTTCTCTTTGTAGAGATGGAAAAGTTAGAGAGGCTGAAGATTTCATGCGTCACATGAGTCAGATTGGTCCTAATGCTAACTCAGTCACATTTGATTGTCTTTTAAGTGGATATGGAAATTTGGGTGATGGGCTGAAAGCATTTTATTTGTTCGACGAGATGATTAGATTAGGTAATAATCCCAGCTTTTTCACATATGGCAGCCTACTTAAAGGACTATGCAAGGGTGGAAATCTGGTAGAAGCGAAGAAATTTTTGAACAACCTGCATCACATTCCTTCGGCGGTAGATAATGTTGTCTACAACACTATGCTTGCTGGGACCTGCAAATCAGGGAATATGTCGGAATCAGTGGCCGTTTTGGATGAGATGATTTGGTTCGGTATTCTTCCTGATAGTTATACATATACCATCTTCTCAATGAATTTTGTAGAAATGGAAAAGTTGCTGTTGCCCTTCTGTTTCTGGGGAAGCTGATGGAGAAAGGAGTTTTCTTTCCAGATCAAGTTGCATACACCTGTTTAGTTGATGGTCTTTTCAAGGCTGGCCAATCGAGGGCTGCTTCTTATTTCTACGAAGAGATGGAGAAAAAAAGTCGATGTCTTGATGTTATTGCTTTTAATGTTGCTCTTGATGGAAACTCTAGGAGGGGAAAATTGACGAATGTGGAAAATCTGTTTTCCACGATGAGAAGCAAAAGCTTATGCCCCAGTTTGGCTACATATAATATTTTGTTGCATGGATATTCCAAGCAAAAAGACATTCGGAGTTGCTCGGTTCTTTTTAAACTCATGATCGGTAGTGGCATTTTGCCTGATAGGTTATCATCCCATGGCCTCATTCTCGGACTTTGCAAGTCAGGGATGCTGGATGTTGGTATGAAAATCTTGAAAACTATGATATCTGTAGGTGTTGAAGTCGATCGGTTTACATTTAACTTGCTTATTAGCAAGTGTTCTGAAAGAGGTGATACCAGAAGGACCTTTGATCTTGTCAATGTTATGAACCTTTTGGGAATATTTCCTGATGTGGAGACCCTCAATGCAATTATTATCGGGCTCAATAGAAATCTTGCACTTCAAGAATCTCATATTATTTTGCATGAAATGGCTCAGAAGGGTTTCCTTCCCAAGGGGAAACAATATATTAAATTGATTAATGCTATGTGTAGACTTCGGAATTTGCAAACAGCATTCCAAGTGAAGGATGAAATGACATCACTTGGTATTGCTTCACCTGATGTTGCCGAGAGTGCTGTTGTACGAGGACTTGCCTTATGTGGGAAGGTCGAAGAATCAACATTGGTTCTTGATAGGATGCTCCGTGAGCAACTAGTTCCGACTGTTGCTACATTTACAACCCTTATGTACAGGTTCTGCAAAGAAAGCAACGTTGCGGAGGCTTTAAAGCTAAGGAGTAAAATGGAGCTTTGTGGTCTGAAGCTTGACGTTATTGCTTACAATGTCATCATTTCGGGCCTTTGTGCTGAAGGGGACATAGCTGCCGCTTTTGAACTATATCGAGAGATGAAACAAAATGGTTTATGGCCCAATGCCACTACTTTTACTGTCCTAGTTGATGCCCTTCTCACCGAGGGGAGTGACCCTTCCACTGGCGATGTGCTTTTAAAGGACTTAAAGGGGAGGGGAATCATATCTTGTGATTGGGATGGAAGTACAGAACAGTTTCAGAAGGCGTTGATAATTGCCAAGAAAAGGTTGAAGTACATGAATCGGAACAAGAGGAAATAGCGTGGAAGAAAATCCGGAATGTGACACCATGTCATTGGTTACTGAAAATATAGACCGAGTTTGTGCAGATCTGCTTATTGATGAGAGGTTCAAATGGAACTTTTGCTTCTCAACCAGTCATGGCATTCTGGTTTGGTTTTCAGTAAGTCTCTATCTTTTGATCATTTATGGACTATTTTTTCATCCTTTTCAGCTTATACATTTTTAGCTTTCTCAGGTCGGATTCGATTTACGTCTGTCTCAAAATAGCCCTGCAAACCCATGAAGATATCAGATCCAAGACTGTGTAAGTCTCTTCTCCCTTTTTCTCTGGAGCTATTCAGACATGAGCCAAATTTACCCATTTTAAAACACTTTGAAAGGTAAAGTTTGTAGCCTTATACGTTACACCATACCTGTTTTCGGATTGATCTGCTATCTATTTACTGTCTTGTTCAGTACAGTTCTTACCAATTAAACAGTACTTCATGGTTTAGGTTTGTCCCTCACCATCCATACCGTTGGACTCGCTGTACGTGTGGAAATAGTTTCAGCTCGTCAAAGGCTGCATACACTTTGGGAGGAAGATAGATTTCCAGTGAGTGCCCACGAGAACCGGTATGGTGTAACGTGGAAGGCTACAAACTTCAACTAAATATTTCTTAACCTCGCTTTAGATGGTGGGGAAGTAAAATAAAACTCACCTCACAAGGGGATCTTCAGTGGACAAATCGTAATGGATCAAATGAATAAGGTGAGGAAGGGCTCATCGGGTTGGATAGCTGAAATTCGAAGAGATGTCTAGACTTAGGTTCAATACTATTTGATGACGGATAATTCTGATGATGATGATGATGTAAACCTTTGTGGAGCAAATGTCATATAGTATATAGATGTGGTATTACACCAATTCCTGCATAATGTCATCATTTTGTCACCTTCAACCAAGTATTACATTCGATCACCGACGTAACTTTAGACTTCATAACTTAAAAAATCATGACCATTTAAGCCATCAACATTGAACTTTGTTACTATACTAAGATTCTTCCAATGATATTGTTATCTTATTGTGATTCATGCAATTTACAATTTGTGAACGGAAACAAGTCGTTCAGCCTACAAAACCTAGTGATGCACCAATTGTACTGTATTCCATAAAGATAAATATGAGAGTCAGATATGAACTATATATCCTAACATATAAAGTGCATTTATCTTACTCTAATTATAAAGTATTAGATTAGTTGGGGCTTAAGAATTTTACATTCAAATATAATTAAAAAATATTATAAATTATTTGAATCAATCACACACACATCTAATTATATTTCAAATAATTTGAAGGATTATTGACAAGTCCTAATAAATCATATAACCTAACATATAAAGTGCATTTATCTTACCCTAAATTTATATTTTTATGATATTATGTTTAAGAAATATTTTAAAAATAAAAAATAACTCTCACCATTATCATTTCACTAATTCCCCCTTTTCAAGTATAATATTTCTCTTATTTAGCCACTTGCAAAAAAAAGTTTGCGAGTTCCTCTTGCTTTTTCCGTTATCCGTGCCCGCCTCCACGTCATCAGTTCAGTAAAGAGCCTAATGACTCAGTTTCCCCCTTCCCTTTTTCCATTAACCGTCAAAACTAACGCCGTTTATCCCGATTCCAAACTTTTCTCTCTTCTTTTTATCTCTTTCTTCACATTTTCCTCTCAAAAAAAATTCTCTCTCTCTCTCTAAATCGCTCTATATATCTTCCTCTATTTCTTCACTAGAAAAGTTTATCTCAAGAATTCATGTCGGTATGTAATTTTTTGGACTTTTGTTTCCTTTTTCATTTCTGTTTAAATTCATCAATAAAAAGGTGTAATTTTGTTGTGTGGTTTAAATTTTTTTCCTGTTTTTTGATGTAGTTTTTGAGCTTTGGGTTGTTCTGATTCATTTACTTGTTGGGTTTTTGATTCTGAGTTTTAAGTAAGAAAAACCATTTTGTTGCTGATGATCAGAGTTTTAAATTTACCCTTTTTCATCTCTTCGGAACTGCTTTCTTTGATGAGTTTTGCATCTTTTTTTGGGATTTTTTATGTTTTTGTTTTGTTATAATCGATGAATTGTATACCATTTGAGCTATTTACTTGTGTAATGACATGATATATGTTTTTGTTTAGAGGACATGTATTGTTACTTATGTTTTAATGGGTATATAATCTGCAAATGACAGCTTGATTGTGAATGTCATAATCCATAATGTCGTTAATATTATTATTTAGATGAATCTTTTGTGTCAATCGTTTCACATTAAATTAACCAGCACCAAGTAATTAGAGTTCTTTAAGGGATTTATAGCAACATATATTTTAAAGGATATTACTAAATTATGCTTGGATTTTCATGACTTGCTATTATTTTGATACTTTATGTAACTTCATGTTCAACTTTTTGCAGATTCCTTTTTGTCTTGTTGCTGGATAAGTTAAGCTTTTCACTGTATCTTTTCAAGAATGTGATTATTCCATGTTATCTAGTTGTGGTTTTATATCAGTAAAGCATATGACTTTATGTGATCATTTTTCATCTCCATGACTGGTCATTGTGATTTATATTCAATTATTGCTCATTTAGAGGCTTCTGTTTGAACTGTGTAATTGATACTGTTGCTATGTTGGCATGGCTTTCTTTCATTGTTCGACCCACCTAACTTCTCCCTTTAATAAAAATGTTATGCCATTGATTATACCGTAGTTTAGAATACTTATTTCACGAACCGTTTTATGTTTTCTTGTTGGATATCCTATTAAAAAATTGTGACTACGATAAGTTTCTGTTCTTAAACCAGGGTTTTCAAAGTGCTGTCTCTAGAGAAATAACCAGTGTTACTGTTCGGTTAATTTAAACTACACTGTTTATTTAGGTTTTTAATAATGCAAGCTTCAAGGTGCCTTTTTGGCCGCAACGTGCTAAGAATCAGACAATGTGATCTATGCTCTGCTGAAGTCACATTTCTTTCTTTCTTTTTTTCTTTTGTTGAAAATTAAACATGTACAAGTTCCACACCAAAAATACAGTAAGAAACAATGCTCTGTGATGTATGTAATAATACCCTTATAGTAACTAGCAGCTTTCATTTAGCTGTTTCACTGTTATTTGCAGTTTAGATTGCATCTGTGATCTTATCTTCAATTGAATGTGTTGCATTCTAATCACAGTTAGCTATTTAGATGGTTGCTAGCTCAGAATAGAAAAGATTTGCTGGTATGTTCAATCTCTCAAAAATTATGTTTATAATGGCAATGAAAATGTAAAATATCTTATGCCTTACACTAGTAAGTACCTTGGCAGCTTGGGAAACAATTAAGAGTGGGTTATCATATCTTTTTCTTCCTTTCACCGTTTTTTTAGAGTTTAAGAACCATTAATCTTGAGTTATTTTTCTGTAAGACATTTTTGCTTGATAAGTGTGAGACTGTTTTTTTTATTTAAATTTTGAGCTTCGAAGTATCTGTATGCTTGTCGGAAAACTCTTATGACTAGCAATTATGACCGGTTTGTTATTATGGGTAATTGATATGTTGTAGCTATTAGCTACACGGTGATACTCGGACATGCTTTAATTTTGCCAGGTTACTTTTCATGTTATTTCTATCTGCTTACCCTTGTTTATAAGGGTCTTAATGGAGCATTTCACTTTTTACTTTGGCTAATAGGAAAAGGGTCAGCCATTGCCAAAATTTGGTGAATGGGATGTCAACGATCCTGCCTCAGCTGAGGGCTTTACTGTGATCTTTAACAAGGCAAGGGACGAGAAGAAAACAGGTGGCAAACCCGAGTCACCAGCAAAGGCTGATCCTCATGCTAAGCCTGGAGTGGAACCTGGGAAAACCCAACCTGTAAGTAAATATCTAATGACTTGTTTTTGACACCTAATAACAGTTCGTTTGCAATGATTGCTATAAACTGTTGCTAGTTGACATTTCCCTCCGTATATGATGCTATTTTCAGAAAAAATGGTTTTGCTGCGTTCAAGCCCCAGCTGCGGAATCTTGACGAAACCGTACTCGTATAAGACTACTTCCACAAGCATGTTAAAGTCCCACCATATATTCCTAAACAAGATAGGATCTATAGGGCTTGACCTTCTATATTTCCTTTTTTGTGGTGTATGATTTAATTTTTTTTGGGGGGGGGGGGAAGAAGTAAACAAGACACTTACTGTATCTATATATATTGATTTGGTGGGTTGTTATGGCAAACTGTGTTATTTCATTCTGTCTTCGTCTGTGTTACAAAGCTATGGAGCTTTTGCTATGAACATATTCCTTCATGTTACACATGATCGGTGTCCTCAAAAACTTGTCTTTGTTCTCTTGTCTTCATCTTTTTATTGGAATAACATGCAGAACATGTTTCCGGATTATGGCTGTATTTCGATGGCAGTTTATTACATGCAGAAGAAGAATAACATGTTTTCCGGTTATGACTTAACATCATTCACCCATGGTACCATAATAAAAGTTCACTAGAAATAACTTGAACCAATCATGCTTTGGTCTATGTTAATCCTGTTAAATCTAAATTCTACACCGTAACAGAAAATGTCAGTGATTTCATGGATCAATGCATATATCAAGTGCCTGAGATGACGAAAGTCTGCAGTATCCTGTAACTAATAAACATTGCAGTTCGGTGCTAGAACTAAACCCGGGACATTCCAAGCTTTCGTTCAAAAAGGCGTCGGAGTAGGTAAACTTGCAGAACACTAGCTCCAACTAGTGCTGCGGATTCGCATAAGGCCTTGTGAACTGCTCTTCTACTCATTGAGTCATTTACTGCATTTACAGTAGAATGTAAGCATAGATACAGTTCTAAATGATCTAATAAACGTAGTGTAGCAACTTAAATCATATTAGCTTGAACACATAATACAGTGGCACTTCATCGTAATTCGGAATTGGATCTAGCAATTGTGTCAAACTGCTTCGAGGAAAATGTTTCAGGTATCTATGAGCCTGAAGGTTTACTAGCAGACATATAATTTCCAAAGGCACCAATGACAGAACATCATAGACAATTGTCTGTAATTAAAAGTGAAATGTTAACGTGAATATACCTATTTTCTGACGTTCTGTCTGAGCATCTAACCAGTGCTGTTCGAACTGGATGTTATAAAGAGCTTCCTCTAACTTAGATATTTGTTCTAACAAAGGGTCGAAATGCTCTGCAGATAAGCATATGAGAACAACAGTTGGTAAACTTCTTATTAAAGCTTTCACCAGTGGAAAGAGAAACATAAAAGCAAATAAGATACAACTTTAAAGCTTTCACCAGGGGAAAGAGAAACATAAAAGCAAATTAGATACGACTTACCATCCTTTGCATGCTGATCATAGTACGAAAAATGACTTTCATGTACATCGAAGTCGACCGTTTCGTAATAAGGAGATTTATTACTGAAGCAGAAACGGTGGACTCCTTTCTGATGAGCAACAAACTCGAATTTCTCACTTACCTTGTCTCTATAATCTTGAATCTGATCACCGGAAGGTCCTTTCACCTAAGAAAAATTGCAAAAGGTAGCGAGTTCGATAAGACTCTTGAGACACCGAGTTCATAGAGGAGTCAGATCTGATTTTGATTAATAAGATCACCAATTCTCAAAAACTATGACTTTCGGTTCAGTCTTAACAATGCCCTAAGTGCTAGCAATTGAAATATAAGTAGACGAAGTACGAAGGAGACAGGAAGCTTACCACAAGATCAACACCCTCATGACTGTTATGCCAAGACGAATCGGACTTGATGACGACGAACGATACATGAATCGTATCCCCTTCGTACTTGATATCGTGAGAGAAGCATTCTTCTCTATCGATTACGAATCTAATTCCAAACGCGGGATTCGGCGTACACAAGATTGCTAGCAATATAACAGCAGCAAATTCAAGAGATCCAACTTTCATCTGCAAATTACAAAGTCAATGAATCCTAGTTATGAAACAGTACCATCTAGCAAGGTTTTCTTAAACCTTTCACCGAAAACAAGTAATGGAATCAAAAACCCAGATAAATTCGCACCAATTCTATCATCCCCTTCAAGTTCATGATAAAGATTAAAACCAATTCAAAACTATTTAGTGCAGGGGAAAATACAGGAATAAAATATGAAAACAATTCAAAGCTGTGAAATTAAAAAAACCAAAGCTATAAATTTTAATTGAAAATAAATTTAAGTAACCTTTAATTTTCTTTTTCTCTTCAGTTTTTCTGGGAGAGTTTACAGAAAATGTGAGAGTAGATCTTTTGAAGCGTTTTGAAGACAAACAGTAGCAGAGAGGAGAAGACAGTTTTGAAGTCCAACACGGTTTGTCTTCGACGTGGTTATAATCATCAGTATCTCATTTAAAGAATAATATCACTTTGGGTAAAGTACACAAATGTTCACTCTTCTATAGAATTTTGCTTTTTTTAATACTTCAACGGTTAAAAGTTATAAAATTATTATTTTACTATTCATATATTTTAAATTTATTTTTTATTAAAAAATTAACGACAGTCTAATAAAATCATATTTTAGTGATGTCTATAGGCAACGTCGTTACTTTTAAGTACTGGCTCGACTGAATAATATTTCAAACACTGACTCAATGACATAATGTAAACAGAGACTCAATCCATAAAATAAAATCATAATTTTCATTTATAACTTTTAATAATTAAAAAAATCAACAAAATAACACCTTATAAAGTTATAATCAAGAAATCGTTTATATACTTTACCATATCATCTTTGAATCAGTTTGGGCATATTGTTTTGACCCTTTTGGTTTTTTTTAATCTTTTTATTAGTTGATTTTGAAATTTCTTTTAAGTTATAATAAAAAAAATAATTTTGAGTTTCTATAATTACTAAAAAATTATTTAATAAATTATTATGAGACATTAATCTATGAGAATAATATATTTTATATTTATTAGATAAATGACATCTAATAATTTATTTAGAAAACAATTTTTTTTTTGATAAAAACAAATCATATAAGAAATATCTTTTAGAATACATTGTTTGTAATACTTTGTGGGACACGGTTTTATGGATGCGATAAATTTTTTTAGACGGACCCTTTAATATCTTCATCATTCAAAATAAAAATGAAAATAAAAATGAAAATAAAAATAATGAACTAAAAATATAAAATGAAAATGAAAATAAAAATAATGAACTAAAAATATAAAATAATTGTATAAATTTTATTTAAAAAAACTCACTCCCCTATCATCGTCAATAATACTACTTTACAAATATAAAATTTAATCAAATTCGTATCAACACAATAATAAAAGACAATTATTCTCTTTTAAAATACTTGATTTCAATCGATAGTATAAAAATTATCTTATGAAATACTCTATTTCAAGTAATCTTATAAAAAAGATTAATAAGAGGTACAACACTTCTAAATAGGGATGACAAAAAAGCCCGAACCTGACGGGAAAAATCAAAAATCGAATTTAACGGGTCGGGTTCGGGGATGATAAACGGGGACGGGGAAAACCCGTTTAGTTAAACGGGGACGGGGACGTGTTTGGTAATCCCCGCCCCGATTTCCCGATTACCCGGCCCGATAAATATTAAAAATAATTATTTTTTTATATATAATATTAATAACATATTTTAAATTAACCCTTAAATATTTTTTATTATTTTTTTCACCCCATACTGCCCCACTTTAAAACATCGTCCCCGCTTCAATTTCTAGAATTTACCTCAATTTTCGCTATCTCATAATATTCTTTTTTTCTTTTAATAGTGAAAATAGTGCTTACACTTCTTGTTTGCAATCACGTGTGAACCTTTAATATCTTTTAATAGACAAACACATTGTTGGGAAAAGTCTGGTTGGTTTGCTGGTATTGTGCCACTTCCAACGAACGTGTACTTGCTGCTGGGTCCTCGTCCAGTACACCATTACACACCTGAAGCCCACCACTAGCATTGGCAAGCTGGAAATTATGTCCAGCAGAATTTAAAATCAATGCAACTAGCATATTGTCTTCGACTCTTCGACAACAACTCTCATTTTCACCTCGCATTCCAATAACCTCATACAAGCTGTCTCCATTACACAAGTTTTAACGTTCCTCTGACAAAGCGAAACATGTGAATTAGCCATATTAAAATCAGCATCGGGACCTATACCAACATCACATTCTTCCCTAGCAAATGGAACAGCAGCTGCTCTCTAGTATTAAATTCAAAAATTCTAAAAAATTTCGGTTAATTCAAAAATTAACCGAAATTTATTCGGTTCGGTTAATATTTTCGAAAAAAATTTAGTTCTATTAACGGTTAAAGAAAAAAAATCGGTTAATTCAAAAAAAAAATCGGTTAATTCGGTTAATGGTAGTTCGGTCAGTTCGGCCACCAAATTAACCGAATGAACAACCCTACCGATACCCGTTTAAATAAACGTTTATGCTAAACGGGGATACCCGTTTCCCCGCGGTTTTTCTCGATTACCCGATGGGGATCCCCGTTTAAATCCTCGCAGTTTTTTAAACGGGACGAGTACCGGTTTTTTAAATGGGGGACGGGGACGGGGGGACCAATACCCAGCCCGAACCCGGCCCGTTGCCATCCCTACTTCCAAAGCTGATGACGAGACAAATGTGTTTTTGACTTTGGTTCGTAAACGAGATGGAAATAGTTCTGATGACTAAATCCCAAATTAGATACAGTACAAGGACAAGAACCATGCTTTTCCCAGAACTATATTCCACACTCTACATGAATCGATCTACTTTAAAGTCATAAAACAAGCCAAGGAGGCTAAAGCTACAGCTTTGAACATGACAGAAGCCGGTATCCTGCCCTTATCCTTGCGAGAGAACAGTGCTTCATACACGGGTGCATTGAGACCAACCATAAGCCCACAAAGAACAACCTGAGGCATCAACTTCCCCATATCCCGACCCCACAAAAACATCTTAACTGCACCCACTACACTCAACATGTTCACCATTGCCAATGTTGATATAACAGTAAACATGATGGATGTGCTCCCGAAATCCATGATCTCTTGCCGGTACCTCGTTGAGGCATCGTCGGTGACGACCTTGGCCGTGATGGTAAACGTTGTCTTAGACAATCCGAGTTGTCTCACTACGCAGTCGATGAAGGCAAAGAAGAAGGAAGTTGTTCCTCGTATCATCCACATTCTCTGCGAGTTCCACCAAGCTTTGAATGTGCTTCCATGGAATAGTGCCTCCGCTATGCTGTAAAGGTTCTTGGATATGAATACATATGCAAAGGGT